GATAGGGCCAGGTGTAGTACAATCCACGTGACCAACTATCCGCGCTGAACAGGACTGAATTACTGCGCATGTGCGTGTTCTATTAACAAGGAATATATCAATCGGATCGTTAATTAACTGTTGATGCACGATGTTTATCAATAACGTTTGGATTTACGTTGCGCACGATATTGGTGTCACTTTTAAAAAATGAAGAAGAGGGCGAGTTTTTCTCCTTTACGCTCTTTTTTACAAAATAAATATCAATATTCTGCATATCATTCGAAAGAAAATTAATCACAGAAGAATATTAAATAGTTTATTTTCGCTTTGTTTATTATATTAAGATGTACTATGTTGATTCCGATGCCTTAAACGTCATTTTAAGGGTGTCCCACTGTTACAATTATGGTAGGTGCGGGTCTTTGAAATCAATTTGCGGTTTTAAAATTTCGCGAAATAGTATAAAATTTCGCAAGAGCTGTGTACGTCATCAAAGAAATATGACGTCATTGCCGTTTTTCAAGATGGGTGAAAGAAGATAGCCAGAAAGGTTGAAACAAATCAGAGAAAAAATGTCCAATTCAGATGGTCAACACCCGTAAAAACTTTTCAACTTTAGTTATTACTTGATAAAAGAGACGTAAGTAGCATTTAATCATATCAGAAAATTTGAACATGTCCTAAGAAGCTTTCTGAAGTCATCAATATCTATCTACTGTCTTACTTTCAAACTATCGTCAGTTTTCCCGTGTCCAATAAAATGTCCCCACTGACAAAATAAGGCATTTACACATCTAAAGCCTGTTTATCAAATGAGATTTCACTTGATCTGCAATAAGTTACAACTTTTAACTGATAGAAATGAAAAATACATTTAATGTTCTCTGTAGAAACATAAAATTATGTTCATAAAAGCTGCATATCGAAAATACGAAAAGAAACAAAATGTCTAATGAGATGTCCCCATTACTGAAATTTGACGTCGGCGTTGTCATGAACAGTTTTGAGCTGAACTCGGATATTCATATACGTTATAGTTCGGTGTATTTGGCATGAAATTCATTTTCTGAAATGGTCTGAAAAATATTTAATCAAGTCCTTGGTCTGTTTGTATGCACGGGAATCTGTAATATGTTTATATTATAAAAGACGACATGATTAGCTCCCAATACTGGACAAAAGTCAGGCTTCGGGCCCATGCGAGTGAAACAAGCTTGCCTTATATTTTAGTTTCCATGTCTCACTTTCACAAATAGAAACATAAAGTTAAAAATACTCCGATCAAAATGTACTTTATCTCAATTGTAAGGCCCCTTGTCGATTCAGATAATGATCGATTCAAAATTACGTTATCTGTATACACACTTCTTTCCCACCAGCGTTGTCCTTATCATGATTCATATTTTTTAGGAAATTATAAATCATATTCTAACAGGCAAATTGAGGAGCCGGTATTTCATTTGCCGTTTGATTCCAATTAATTACTAATTTCCGTGTAATGGTACAACTATATAAATATCCATGTACTTTACTTTCAGTAGAACATCGAATATCATAATGCATGCAAGTAAACTCGTATAAATGGATATGTATACAGGTTAAAAGTTAACCAAATTGATAATATTTATCTACATGCGTAACAAGATTACATTCACTTCAAATATGAATAAAAGGAGTCATGGAGAAAACGTCAATGAGACAGAAACCCAAAAACAAAAATCACCACAAGATATCGAAAATAGACATATACAAGTCTTCAAGTACAGTTTACTCTGCTAAGGCCTATACTTTCTAGTAAATGCACCATATATCTATTATTTTACACTATTCTTCTGAATTGTCGGATTCCATTACTATAACAATACACCAAGATTTTTAGAATGCATCAGTGTAGCATGTGCCCTTTTTTCTGTCACCAACAATATGATTTGATAACACATTTACTGAAAAGACATCAAAATGACTCAAACTTTAAAGTACACTGTTCATCTGTTGGATGTGGAACAACTTTCAAGACATACAATGCATTTCAAATGCATTGTAAGAGAAGGCATCCAGATGACAATAGACCAATGTGTGATGCTGGTGCTGAACAAGGCAATAATGGACATGGCATAAATATGCATGAAGACAATGATATGGACATAGATGTGAATGACACAAATACAAAAGTTATTGATGCACACCATATTCTCAAATTAAGAGCGGACTACCATCTTAGTCAATCTGCAGTCAGTAATATTGTATTATCAACAAAAAGTCTTTTTGCTGATAGACTAGATATTGTAAAAAATAGAATTAGACTATCATTACCAGAAGATGTTGTTAAGTCTATCAATATTGATGAAATCTTTTAAGAAGACTCTTTTAATGGATTAGAGAGTGAATATTTACAAGAAAAATTCATTCGAGAAAATTTTGGCTATATTGAACCAATCCCTGTTAAATTAGGTCTTGTAAAAAAACAAATTAAGCATTGCGGACGTTACAAATTTATAGAAAGAGACGCTTTAGGTTATCAGATACCTTTTAAAAAACAACTGGAACAACTACTGTCAATGAAAGAAGTTCAAGAATGTTTGCAAGAAGATGTAAGAGTGACAAATAAAATGACTGATTTTTATGATGGTCGATACATGAGTAAAGCGTTTTATCAAAATCATCCTGATGCATTATTGTTAGTATTATACTTTGACGACTTTGAAATTGACAATCTTATTGGTGCACATCGTAAGAAGCACAAACTCTCTATTTTTTATTGGTCTCTGCTTAACATCTCACCAGAATTCCGATTCAAGGTACAAACTGTGCAATTGATAGGGGTTGCAAAAACTTCTTATATCAAGAAATTTGGACCTAATGTAATATTATCAGACTTTGTTGAAGGTATGAAGAAATTGTATACAGGTTGTGACATTCTTGTTGGAAGTGAGTTAAGAAAACTGTTTGGCACCTTTTATTGTGTATTAGAGGATACTCCAGCAGCACAGTATTTGGGTGGCTTTACAGAAGGTGTTGGTTTTGCAGAAAAGCCTTGTAGAACCTGTGAAATAGACCACACCCAACTTGGGGAAAGTCTGCACGGAAAACAATTTCCTTTGCGTAATTTGCAAGAACACAATGATCGTTGTGATCATTTAGATGAGTTTAACAAATGTCGAAGAAGATATTGGTCTAGGAAGTATGGTGTCACATATCCGAGTTGTTTACTACAAATTCCAGAATTTGATGCGACTCAAGCTATATTACATGATCCCATGCATATTTTATTGGAAGGTATTGTCAAAATGGAGCTCCAGCTTATGCTCTCTGAAATGATTTATAAAAAGAAATATATTTCCTTGAAGGAATTGAATTGTTCAATTCAAAATTTCAATTATAGTGCTTCAGAATTGAATGATAAACCTCAACAAATTGAAAAAAATCATTGGATCGAAAAAATGTTCTGCCTATGACAGCCATTGAGGTAAAAAATCTAATGGTCCTTTTGCCATTTATGATTGGTGATAAAATTCCAGATGAAGACCAACATTGGTACAATTTTCTACGCTTGATTCAGATTACAGTGTTATATATAGTGATATCTCCAATAGCATCAGATGATACCGTTAATTCATTGACACAGCTAATTTATGAACACAACTTAAATTTTAAGGAACTTTATCCTGATGTAGATTTCACACCAAAGTTACACTTTATGACCCATTTGCCTGATCAAATTAAGAAATTTGGACCAGGAAGAAATCACTGGTGTGTTCGTTTTGAGGCAAAACCCAATTTGTTTAAGAGTAGGAAATGGAAAAATTTTAGAGCTATCGAAAAATCTACAGCATTTTTCCATCAAAGATGGATGTGTTTGCAGCAGCTTTCAGGGAATGGAGAAAAGTCTGAAGCATACTTGTATGAAGGTGACTCAGTAAAGCAGGGCATCACAGTTTTACAAGACCAAATTAGTGACGGTGTAAAACGAACAATTGAATCAACTGGCATCATTATTTCACATGAAGTCATGAGAACTGGAATTGTCTCAATTCATGGGATTTCATACAACATAAACAATGTCATTGTTATAGATAACAATGCTGAAGAACCTAAATTTGGAATGATCAAGAATATTTATTTGATCGAACATTTGAAGTTTGTAGAAGTTTTGCATCTTGAAATAACAGGTTTTAATGAACACATTAATGCCTTTGAATGCATGAAATCTAACATTGAACGAACAATATGTTTAACTGACCTAACTTACAAATGGCCACACATTGTGCACTACTACAAGAGTAAATTGCATGTGATGCTTTATAACGTAGATTTTTGTTGAAGTGCTTGAAATTTTAACACAGTGAGCAAAACTCTTACATCTGTATTTATTTGTGATATCTTGCAATTGTAGAAAATGAAATTGATGGTATTGCCCTCAGAAATTTAAATGACACTGACATTCAACAAATGCTGCCACTAGGCAAAATAGGACCACTGAGAAGATTGATAGACTCAAGGCTCACCATATTCAAAAATCCTTAGACAAAAACCAAAGTGTATTGGTAAACTTACCAATAGAATGCAACACAGATTCAACATCTCCAGCTACATCCAGACCAGTAACCCCAGTTGTTTCTACACAATGTACCAGTATGCCTATGGACATTGATTCAGAAGAAACAGTAGTTGTACAAAAGACTCCAGATAAGGTGAGATTCATGCGCCAACTGTTATTCTTATTGATCATACTATGTATGTTTTAAACATGTATTATGTTTATTTGAAATCCAGAAAATATTCCAGTAAAAGATAAATAGGCTACATATGCATGCATATATCTTTTAAACACAGAAGATAAGATAGAAGTTTATATATTCAGATTTTTAATAATCATGCAAACATTTCAATCTAAATAGCATTAATATTGAAGAGCAAACATTTAAAACACTAATATATATACTTCCAACTGTTTAACAGTACTAAAGTTACATGTGCATGCAATGTTAATCATATGTATCTATTTCTTTTACAGCGCCATCAGCAGACAGTCACACAAAGTCCGATACTTCTAAATAAAGGGGCTATAGACATTGATCAGTTCATTCCTCAATACTCCACAGCAATACAGTTCTTACTTGATAGTGGTAACATACTAAAGGATTAGAACAAGTTTATTGAATAAACTGCTTACCACATTCTGTCCAAGACAAATATTATATTTAACATCAGAGACGTCTATGGACAACTTGGCCGGGCCTTGTATATGAAGTACCCATGCACTGAGTTTTCTGCTGGAGATCAACCATGGGTAAGGCAATTGTAATATGCGTGTGCAAAGTAACATAAATAAATCAATGTTCTATTTGATTAAATTAAATTTAAATTTTGCTTTTGAGAATTAAGCTTTAAATTCTGTAAAATTCAGAAATTATAGTGCGTATTCAATTTTGTAATTTTTTTAGAGAAGACGAAATTTGTGAGAAAAAATCAATTATTACAATTTCAGTAAAAATTTTATTCAGATTTATGCATTGAATATTTGAATATGGATTCTTATCATTGCTATACTCACTTAGTCACATTATTCACATTAAAAAGAAAACTTTGCAATAATTTTGGAATTTCAGTTTTACATGTATATGATGTACTTCAAAAACAACTGTATGTTTAGATACATGCCTTTTCAAAATACGATTTTTTGCGTTACATGTACCATGTAATTGTTAATTTTTGGGACCTGGAGTCTACTCCTGTATGGTAATTTATAAAATTTCATTTATTTGCTTTGTCTTTTAGGCACATTTTACCCCAAGACTTTCACAAAAAGTCCGTAACATTAGATGGAAATGGAATAAAAAAAGTAAACGTGTGCATTCGGATGATGGTCCACCTACTAAAAAGAAAGGTCCCAGGCGATATGATTTGGAACCAGATTCCACAGGTACAGTAGTCAAGATAGTTTTTGTAGTACCATTGTTAACACTTGAATATTGTGTCTTAGCACGTACTTTTAATGTAAAACATGCAAAAAAAAATCCATTGGGTGACTAAGCATTCATTAGTCTTATTTTGATAGGGGGGAAAAACCTAATATGTACATATACACTTTGGTTACATACATGTAGATATATGTTAGATGGATAACTCTTCTTTTTTTTTCTATCTTCCAATACATTTGGATTTAATTTTAAGCATCTGTCTGTCTGTTGATGTTGCTCTTTTATTTTCATTTAAATTCTACATGTTTCCGTGTGTATGCTATTGTCAAGACAGTCTTGCTTGTTTATAGATATCAAGTTTACATTATGTTTTATAAATTAAAAGTGTAGTTTAGTCATCTTGAAATATTGAGTTAGAATTTTAATTTTATTTTAATAATCAGCTATTCTTATAATAATTTTTAGAACAATGTACATCAACTGAAACAGAAACAGAAACAGAAGCGATTAAGATAATGGCAGAGGAGCTGACAAAACCCAAACAAGAACAAAACAAGGCATTAATCCTTAAGCTTCAACGGTCTACTTTCCAACAAAGAAGGAAGTTCATCCAGACCGTTGAAGATGGAAATATGCAAAGCATTGTAGAAAAATATCCGATCATGAAAATTCCAGAATTTGTAAGTAATTTTCAAAGTTTTATTAAAACAATTTCACAATTTTCATTTAATAGTATACAAAATGTTTTGGTGGATTCAAAACTTTTATCAATACCTTTGCATGTCCACTTTTAAATTGGCGGAATTTATTTTGGCAATTTTGTTCTATTCGCGAAAAATAAACAAAAAATTTCACCCCATGAAAATAACCCGCTATACAGTATATGTGTTGCAATTTTATATATGTACAACAGTATAATACTTATCTTAGGAAATATCATGATTATTATTATACTGGCAAAATAATGTATATGTCAATTGTTTAATTATTATATGTATATGTCATTTAAGAAATAGTACTCCATGATTTTTTTTTAAACAGATTGTAAAAGAATTCGAAATGATGAAACCCGACCTAAAGAAGGATGTTCTCCTAGATAAATGGACAGATGTTCTTGGCATTTTAGACAAGATGTTTGAGGGTAATGATCAGGTACATATATATTTATGTTTATACACAGCTATTTTTTTTGAAATTCATGTCAGTCTTAATAGTGTTTGTATTAGAATTGATTTGTTCTTATATTCCAAGCAAAATCTAACATTGTCTTTGGTACATTTAGTAAAGGCTAAACCAGATCTGAACAGCTTTCAGTATAAATGTATATTTTAAACAGTTTCATTTAAGGGAATCTTTGAATATCTATTGGAATTTTAACCTTACAAAAAAGATGATTTTTCAGATTTTTTTTATGATACTACTAGCTATTGCAAATAAAAACAAAACCATTTCGTCATTTTACCCGTAATATTATGTATACAGGGAAAAAGGGGGAGTGGTCAGCAATAAAGCCATTATAAAGTATATTGCTAAATACAGTATTCTTAAAAGACTTATTTTCATTTTTGTATATGCATTTTTTATAGGACAGTGACAATGAGGAAAACCTGAACACAGGTCAGGAACTGATAAAGATTGTTGATCGAATTGAGGCAAAGATAAAATTTAGAACATCAAAGAAGGAACAGAATGATCTAATTGTAAAAGTAGATGCAAGTAAATAGATATGGATATTAAGTAGCTTATGCGAAACTATTTGGTTTAATGTCACTGATTCTCTGGTATACATTGAAAATGGTTAATTCTAAAAAAAAAAATCATAAATTGCAGAATAGGTCTGACTGTTAATCTTGAATAACAAATCAAAAGTATGGAATTAGGAACATGCTTTTTACCTCCAATATATGAGTCCTTCGTTGTGGTCAGCATTTTCTTTTTAACTTAAATTTTTTTAATTGTATTTGTATGAATTTTTTTAAGAAGCCTGCTTAATTATTATATTTTAGAGACAGTTGCATACAAATTAAAAGTTTAAGGTAGATATTTAAATTTTATAAGCAAAATGCTTTCTTTGGAAAGACTTGAAAGTTGGACTAACACTTATGTTTCATTTCAGGTTAAAAAAGTTAATCTTACTACCAAAAAGAAAAGCCCACCAAGAGCTGTAATACTTACCAATGAAGATGGTTCGATAAACAATACATATATGGTAGGGGATGGACTTCAAATATCAGCAGGAACAGACATAAAACAGCTGTTACAACTACTTGTTGTGACATACTATGCATATGATTTGTCTTATCCTAAATGTTACCAACTTTTGGGTTTTTTGCAAATGGCTATCCTCAAAGACAATGCCAATTTTCATAAGGGAGCAAATTACCTAAAGTTCGAAAAGGAATTCCTGCAACATGTGGTCAGCCGGGAAGAAGTTGATCAATGATTACAATCGTTCTCTATTTACTGGTGTTATTTCTGTATGTATTTCTAAATTATAGTGTCAGACTTTATGTGAGCATGCTTCACTGTGGGATACACTTTTAGCTTTTATTGATCATAAACTTCATTGTATAAAATTTTTGTCACATTTTTCTAAAGAACTACAAATATATATATAGTCTTTCTAAAATTTAAGATGAACCTTCCTGTGACCATGCTACATTGTATTCTGTGTAACGCATTTTTACAGCCAATGCTCATCATCCTGTCAATAGCTAACAGATAAATTTTTGTCTTGTCTTAGACATTTTTATGATGTTGTTTTCATTTCATTTAATTTCTTAAAGTGAAATCAATGTTGAATATTTTTTAAATAAAGTTTGCATATGTCTATGAAGAGTAATACATGCATGTATGGGAAATCAGCCTTAAAAGAACTGTTTTTGTATATATATCTGGGATGATCATAAGTTGGCAGATTTGTTCTTAAACAATTTACCTTAAATATATAGTACACACAAGTGTACAATAGAAATATGTATTAAGATAAAGACTTAGAAATATTGAACCAATACTTGCCAATCTTCTTCCTTAAAAAGACTTTGGGCAATTTCCTTATGATTTTTGGTTCTTGTGCAAGGACACAAGTATGAAGGTTAAAAACTGGTATTTTATATGTATATTTTATTGACACGATTAAAGTATAAAATTGGATTTGAATTTGTGTACATTTGGTCATTTTTCAGAAAAAGTTTGGTTTTGTTTCTTAAAACATTGAAACCAATCAAATTCTTTTTATTGAATTGTATAATATAATTTATGAAAGCTTTTACAATTTTACAGACTGTCAGGATTAGGTTGTATATTTTTATTTATGATTTCTTTTGAATGCAAGAACCTATTGTTTTGTTGTTATTGTCTCTTGTATTAATTGTATGATGTATGTTTGAATGCATTTAGTGAGACAAATAAAATATTGGAACTATTTAAATTGATTTTATGTTGTACTAGAGAAGATGGTTTACAGCCTTTAAAAGGGCCTTTGGGAAGAATATATTATTTTACCCTATTATTATTATGATTATTATATTAATCTCTTATATACACTTAGAGGAATGGTGGTAAAATTGATCAGAAGGACATGAAATCAGAACCAACCAATAGTGGTATACCATTTAATAGTGGTTAGTTAAACAGATTTTGTTATCATCAAACTTCTGAGGTCCAAACAGGGTCATCATACAATTCTAAACATCTGACATCTAAACACATGAGAAATCTAAACATCTGACATCTAAACACTTGACAAATCTAAACATCTGACATCTAAACACTTGTTGAAATCTAAACGTGTTTAGATGCTAAACATGTTTCAAAACGTACTAGAAAAAGTGTTTAGAATTGTGTTTAGAATCTAAACACTGTTTTTACGGTGTAGTATGTGGAAATTTTTATGCTTTGAGTATGCAACATTGCATTAAAAAATATTGTTTCAGAAAATTTACAAATTTAAAATACTATAAGTATACTACATTTACAGTGATGTAGGTATAATTGACATTTCATTTTTTCCCTTTTGAACAGCCAAACAAAAAATGCCTGCTAAAAAGCAACTGGACCACCAAGTATATCTACTTGAAAAAACACAAACCGAGGCATACATTGATTTTACTGTAGAATATCAATGAATAAAATTGTCCCAGCGTTCTTTTGGAAATTGTAAACCGTATTTCATTCGTCAAGTTCGTCCGAAAGATAGACAAACCTGTTGCTGCAGGTACCACGTAGAAACCAAACGCGCATTCAAATGTTGCATGAATTTTCGGAAAAAAATATTGACCGAGAATGATGCATATGATGAAAATAATGTTCATGTTATGATTACATAAGCGACATTGTAGATGTCACATTATGTAACAAAGAAGATAATGTCCACAAAATATCATGCCTTAAAAGAGATTGTGGAGAATGTGGTATTAACAAACTTGAATTTCCACTACATCAGCATAGAGCAACGTGGCAAAACAAACAATTCCGAACACCTCTAACTGATCTTCCACAAAATCATTGCGTCTGCGTACATGACTTTTCAGAAAATTACCGCTGTACGGATTTAAAAGAACTTCAAAGTTCTTATTTATAAAAGACGGAAGTGTCTATTCATGTAACAATAATACATCGCCACGCTTTACTTGAATATGACGGTGTTGATAGTACCTCTGAGTTTCCTGAAATAATTACCGCACATTTTTTTGTGATAAGTAGTGACTAGCAGCATGATCAACATTTTGTTCATGAAGTTCGAAAGAATATAACAGAATACTTAAATTCCATCTCTTACCCGGTCCATACAATGCACGAGTTTACAGATGGATGTGCAGCACAATACACAAGTCTCCACTGCTTTGGTGATATAAGCCAGACTTGTAAGGATTTTGGATACAGCAATTTCACCCGAAATAATTTTGAAACCGCACATGCAAAAGGTAATATTTTTTGGGGAAATTATTAACATTTTAATATTTTTATTCTTTCAAAGAACGCTTCATGTTTTGAAAAAATCTATTTGCATTGTTTGCATTTTCATCTAACGTTAATAAGCTCGGTCAACAGAACTATAGTATTGGCTTGGCAATGGTCGTTATTTAAGCGGGTGATTTTAAATAGCAATAGAATCTTCCGCAAGATACGTGGTCGTACATAATAGAAAAGCAACAACACTGATAAGACACATCATTATTCAAAGTTAAAAAAATAAATAAACGGAAAAACAAAAAATAAATCTTGATGATCGAAAATCAGGCAAATATACTACTAGAATCAACAATTAAAGTAAGAAAGTTATTTTTTGTATAACTATAAAGAAAACACCAATACATTATTTAATACAAAGAAGACATGTGGATCATACATACATATATAAGGTAGATAACCACACTCAAACATACATCACATTCGACTTCGTCTCGGGTGACATACCTCTTTTTGTGTTGTAATAGAAAATTGTATGCATGTTTATACAAGTCAAAATCGCATTTCTTTTACATCTTAAAACATTGGCAGTCTTTGTAAATAGCAACTGAAGATAAAAAAAAATGTCCAGGTATTATGATAAAGTAATTTTCCTCATTATTTCAAGCCCGCAGGATGCCGCCGGTGGACTTCTAAAGCGACAGGCAGATATAGCCGTCTTACGCGGACGAGCGACAATACAAAATGCATCCGATCTATATAATATTGCCGTTATGAAAATGACACAAACCAAATCCGTTTGTAAAAGAAGATTTGTGGAAACAATCCCGAGGGAGACAAACCTATCTTACAAACCTTGTGTGCTCGTATTATAAATCAAAGTAACGTCGTCAACTTCATGCAATATTGACGTTTTACGTGTAACGTCAAGTGACACCAGTATTGTGCGTAACGTCATTATACTTGTTAATTTTTTCGAAATTAACATTTCATATGAAATTAAATATTTTTTAATAAATTCATGGCAATAAAAATATTTCCCGCCATGTGTCAAGAAATGACGCTATCCCACGATGCATCATTCTAACATCCAATTGACAAAACCATGTTGTTGTATTACGCCTGGCTCTACTGTCGAGCAGTGAGCCAGGATCCCAGGCTAATCCGCAAACGGATGGCCGGAAAAATAGAGATTTTTAACTATTCTTCCGGCTAGCCAAAACAATAGTCACTCCGTTTTTGTAATGTTATGAATTGGTGTAATGATAATGATATGATATTGAATAGAGATAAGACTAAGGTAATGTTTTTTCGTTCTAATAGACAAAATGTTTTTGAAACAGAATTAAGTATCAACTTTGATGATGAATATATAATAGACGTCATTCATAATCAAAAACTGCTAGGAATCCATATTAACAAATCTCTTTCATGGGAAAATCAAATTGACAAACTTTGTGCAGTAATTGTAAGCAGACTGCATCTTATGGGCCGACTCAAAGCATATCTTCCAGTAAGTGTTCTCAAACTATATTATAATGGATATATACTTTCAATTATGGACTACTGCTGTATCGTGTGGGAAAATGCTTCAAAAACTAATATTGACAAATTATACAAGTTACAAAAGAAAGCAGAAAGAATCATTTGGAATGCAAGTTTTGATATCTCTTCATCAGTTATGTTTAAAAAGTTAGAATGGATTACCATTTATAATAGAATAAAATATTCTATGACAGTGATGGTATATAAGTTTATGAATAATTTTGCACCTGAATATTTATTTGGACTATTTTCAAGTTGTTCAGGTGTTAATAACTACGCATTAAGATCATCTTCCCAAAATAATATATTTGTTCAACGATATGAAACTTATTATGGTAAAAGAACATTTATGTATTCTGGAACCTTGCTGTGGAATTCCTTGACTTTGAAAGAAAGTAAAACTATAAATGTTGTTAAAACAAAATGTCAAGCTTATCTCTTGAAAATACAAGAAGAGAAATTTTTGCAGTTTTAATGTAACAATTTTAATATGAATAGACTTTTTATTTAAGTCAATGGTATTTGTCCACCTGTTCTATATATATGTGCTCTTGTATGCAGTGTAGTGTTGCTTTATTGCTCTTTTGTTTATAATGTATTATTATCTTTTAAAAAATGTGTTTATTTATATGTAGATTAGAAGGTCATGGGGGCGGATTAACTGTTTAGTTAACTGTGTAACCTTCTGAAAATAAAGAATTTGTTATTATAAGTTCTTAGAAATAATAAGTTGATATATTATAATACTGTGGATTGATTTATTTTCTATGGTACTCATTTTTGTAAAATATTGTATATTCGTGGATATTTGATTTCGTTGTTTTTTCCGTAAGTCTGCACACACTATGAAAATAAAGAGATGTGGGATGATTGCACATGAGACAACTATCCACAAAGGTTCAAATGAAGTGGATGTGAGAAAAGGTTATACCGTATGGTCGGCTATACAAGGCATCGAAATGAAAATATGAAACAATTCAATTGAGAAAACTAACGGCCTAATATATAATAAAACAATTTACGAAAAACAAATATGACAGACATGAACTAACGACAACCACTGAACTACAGGCTCCTCACTTGGGACAGGCACATATAGTATGTGGTGGGGTTAAACATGTTTGAAGGCGCCAACCTTCCCCTAACCTGGGACAGTGATGCAACAGTACAACATAAGGACAAGCTATAATCAAAGTACTGAAGTACTGAACATCGGATGACCGCAGGTTCTTGTGGATGGTCAAAAGCACATGTCACAGAAACAGATCACATCTCTATACCTGAAACTGAGGTTAATTTACAGAGATTTTTTTTTCTTATACAAGTTCGTGCTTGGATGATGAATAAATGACAGGAAATTCAACCTCACCGTAATAACTATTATATTGTAGTGATACAAATCAGTATACCTTAGACTATTATACTAATATAATAATAGTTCCAGAGAATACACTGGTTTGTTGTTATATATTATATTAATATTACGGTTGCATGTATATATAATTTTCATCTATTTGTATATCATACTATTCTACTATTATTATAGTGTAATGCAAGTGCATGGTGGACACTCTTCTGTAAAAAAAAATCAAAGTCTTAAAGGCTGTAAAAGCAATTGCTGCCATGTTAATGTTTTGTGGACTTTTATTTTTCATCCATATATATAAGAATTAAACCTGACAGGACAGGAGTGTTAACTAGTGAGAAGCAAGACGGTTTTAACTTTATATCAATATAAGACTTTAGCAGGAAATCATTTCAAATATGTTTTATATTTTACAAGGAGACAACAAGTTTACCAGGCTAAAGTTGGGGTTAATTATACATGTGCTGAAACATATAACTGAAAAAAAAATCATTATGGATTATCCCCTGGTAGTGTTTGTAACTGGGCAATAATTTCCTTTATTGATTTGATTTTAACCATTTTCATAATTAATTTAAATTAACCTTTCAGTTAAAACATTTCAACTTTCCAGACGCAAATGTTGAAAAACGGGACAGAAATAAAATATCTTACAAGACATAAACATGTATAAAATAAATATATATTTCAGCTTACTAAAAATATTTTCATAATGTTACTTTGACATCATTTCTTAAAACTAAGTCCCAAACATAATTGCTCAGTTGACATGTGTCATCCTCATGCGATACGAGATAACTATAATTCTGATGTAATCCCGAAAAGGGGGGTCATCACAAACAAACATGACATTAAATTGTCATTATACGAACTAGAACAAACAGCTCTATGTTGCTTTGATATTTATCAATTTTCGGGAAACATGTGAAATAAATTTCAGGTCTATTTCATTATAGTGCCTAACAAGATTGTGTGAGGTAGACGAAATTGACCTTAAAACGATCGTATTGTCTTTTGATGTCCAAAAATAGGCAGATCGGACATATAAGGACTTTATCTAATGACTACATAAATTTGGGATTTATTATTATTATAATATTCTAATGAAACTGAAAATTGTATTTTTTTTTAGGATAAACAACAATTTTACCTGGCGTAGCCGTTCATAAATGTTTTTCTGCATTTATCTTCGAAAAATGGCGTATTTAATGGAATAGAACGTTAATACAGTAAACTTTCTCTTTTTTCTCCGCAATAGGCTATCAAAAATAATTTATCTAATGTGTATGTGGAAAATTATGTGAAAAGATAAAAAGTGGCAATTGTTACCTTTCATACCTTAAGTTTCGTTCATCCGATTCTGACCAATGCTTATATACTAAATATCTATTTATATGCCGCTATTATTGTTGTTGTTACCAATTATGTAAATCAATTGTATCTGATTTTATGCCCTTTATGGGCCCTGTAATTTGGGAAATAAAAAAAAAATCTATTCATTGATAAAACGTAATATGGACTGGTCCAGTGTCCAGTTTGCAGGTCATTTAATTTTCTGTACACATTCATGCACGCTCTGACATAATCAATATACTCGTACGAAAAAGCATGAACAGTTTGAAGGTAATCTAATAATAACTTAATCCAATCAAATTGCATAAGATTCAATAACAATGTCAAGTCCACATCATAATGAGTAATAGAGGTAAACTGGGTAGGGAGAAAATGACAGATATTTCAAGTTAATATTTATGCAATAACGAATTAAAATTTGTCAACCAAAAGTTTTGCTACAATTTCAAAAACATGTCGTTCTGTATGGGTATAGTTTTCGGATCTTTCATTAGCGTATTTAAGGCTATAAAAAGTTTGGGCTTCAAAAGTTCACACAATTATTGACTTTATACAGAAAATTCGTCCTTGTAAAACATTTAATAGTTCACAAATGATACGCGATTTTAAAGTAAAATTATTTCTTAAAACACTGCAAAAAATTTCATTCATATTGATAAAGTGGTATCGTCATAAAGTGCGTTGAAATGAACAGTGGTATAGCAAACATCGAATTCCCTCACAAAATGTTATCACACACTACAGTAAGGGGAGTCAGTTAAGTTTGTCTATTTCTAGATACTATACAGGTAATCTTTTGACACTACGTATACAACCTGTGTGACCTGTGTAGTGATTTTGATTTTACGATAAATTCATGAATGAACGATAATTTTATGAATGAACATGAGCACCTGACCTCTTTCTTAAACACCTATTAAACATATAAAACCGTATTTAATAAGGAGATAATTCAGTCAAATTTTCAGTACTAAATCAACAACTGAAATGATTCCATTTTTGATGAAACATCGTACGAACGGAGAACGGAATCGCAGGTATAAAAATGCACTTTTTTCCCTTGTAATGACCGCGGATCTATAATTTTTATAGATCGGTTGAAATCCCAAAACTAATTTGAATAATGGAAATTTAGGCGATAGCAACACATCGGAATGACCTCAAGGTCATCCTCTGTAAAAATCAGTTGGAAAGTCTATAGACAATTTGTATTTTGTTCGTTATTTAAATTTGTGGTTCATCTATACCAATGAAATCCGCGCAAATTAGTATCCCATGAATAATAATGAATTCATGCGGTAACTTATATCTGTCTAATGAGATTTTTTAACATGTGTTTTGTATTGAATATTGTAAAGAGAGCACACCAACCTTACAAATTATCTATATAGGTTTGAGTTGCTTTGTCCGAGTATCATTACTTTAAGGATGTTCGCTCATCTGTTTCAAAATAACAAGCATTTGAGAAGACTATTATAAATTGATAGTATATAAATAACGAAACTTTAAAAAAAAAATATGGGTCCGTGTCCTTGTTTTAGAAATATAATCAATTTAAATTTGGTGGGAAATGATTCTCTCTAGACTTTTCCATACATTTAACATTGGCACCTTTTTTCTATCAAAAACTATGAAAAAATAACAAGGATTTTGTAAGATTTTCAAATATGTTTTTTTTAAAACTATATGGAATAAAATTATGAAAAGAAAAGAAAGGGGTGAGCGGGCAACATTTTTATTAGAACTACATGGATAAAACTGAGGAATCCGAATATCTGACAAAAAGTCAAAGGCAAGAGTAGCGTCTTAAGAATTAAAGTTCAATACAACGGAAGAGCTCTGTCACAAAAATAAAGATGATAACTGAAAATATTGGCAAAAAATAACATCCTCCAGTGCCACTAACCAGAGACCCAATGGAGCCAAAACGACACACAAAAAAAGCAAAACCGGCATATCATCAAAACCCAAATACCATTGGGAACAAATCCTGGCAAGTTAGGTTTCTTTTGGTTCATAGTTCTTGAAAAAAAAATCTTTGAAATTTAAACTAAAATTTTGAACCTTTGAAGCCACATTTCCAAAAGTAAAAACACTTGTGCTGATCTTGGGTGAGTGACTGGGTGACCGACGTAAGGCCAGACAGACGGAACCTTTAAATGCATTGTCCCCTATCTCTACTGGGGATATAATAAGAAAGAAACGAAAGTGATAAATATTAGTTTATCGTTATCATGGTATTTTAATTGGAATATTTTATCATTGGGTCCATGATATTTCCAGTATCCTGCTTAAGATGATCAATAAAACTGACATTTTCATGTGAAAATACTCATTGCACAAGAATCAGATGCACATCTGCTATAAAGATACTAAAAATTAAGCAGAAACTGTCATCGTCATATGTGCTTCCTTTTATTATGATAATGGTCAAACTTTATTAAACATATTATATATACAATTTTCAACAAGCGCCGATTAAATTCTATTTGACAAATTCACATTTCGTATCTGTTTGAGTTCTATATTATTCTAAATCTGCTTCATTTCGTTTCCTGAGTAGTTCTTTCCTTGTAATCTTTTTTCTTGTTTTTCATACTTATTCGACTTAATTTCTTACATTTAGAATCAATACTCTTTGAATGACTATTGTTCGAAGATGATCTACTATCAGACTCAGAATCTACTTCCACTGCAAAGTTATAAAAAGTTTCATTTTTCATATCCTTTGTAACACATTCGGAACTGGAAATATCGTCAAAGTCATCAACAGATTCATTTTTTATTTCATTTTTAACACATTTGGAGCTAGAAAAATTAAAAACTTTTGGTATTTTATCATTGATGATGACTATTTTTTCTTCAATATTTTTGACAAGGTAATCTACGCTATCAATAAATTGAAACTCTATTTTGTACGTATTTTGAGTACTCTCAAATCCTCTGAATTGTGTTTCAATATATATCTTTAGTTTTTGAATTTCAATCATTAACTGAACATCCGAAGCCTCTTTCAGTGTTGCTTCCAAGATTTGCTTAGTATTTGTGACCGCTTTCTTTCTATTTTCGGCATCCCGAATGGTTAACTCGAGTTTAGCCTTTTCACTGTGGAATGTTTTTTGGTATGCCTTTGTCCATTTGCTTTTAAGTTCCTCAATCCCTTGCTGCAATGTATTCCAAAATTGATCACATTTCTGCATTTCAGTATTATAAGTAACGCCCATGTCAAATAAAGAACTTCTTTCAGCATCTAACACAGAATCTAAATCCGTCAATAAAGCACTAACCTCGTTTTCAGTCTTGCTTACAATGTTCGATTCTCTGAATTTCTTAGCAGCTTCCTCGATAGTCAAAACATTTTCGCATTTTCTATGTTTTACTGAAACACATATAGAACAGCACGAACAATCATGATCAACACAGAACAGTTCCAGTTCTTTATTCTTGTGCTCGGAGCACATATTCCTAAAAGATTTCAAAGCATAACCGTCTTTTGATATGTCTGATATTGGAACAATTTCATGATTTGACCTTAATTTACTACTTTTATGACACCGTGTACATGTTGCGCAAAGAGCATCAGAGCAATCAATACACACGGAAGTTGCTTCTGATTTCGTATTCGCATCAAATCGTTCGCATGACATGCATATCTTTTCGGTACGTTCTACTTTATGTTTTTCGATTAATCCGACAAGGAGAAAATTTAAAGGCATCTGTTTTGTCCATTCTTCTGGTGTTATTCTTCCAGCAAGGACAGGAACTTTAGCTCTACAAACTGGGCAATCAATACTTGTATTGTCATTTTCGAACGCGGATGTAATATATGTCGCAATACAACTTTCGCAAAATGTATGTAAACAAGGTAAATACTTCGGATTATTAAACTGTTCTAGACAAATTGTACACGTTGTTATATCGTAGTCATTTGTACAAAAACTTACTTCAGCTGTCGCCATTTTATATGCTCCTATAGTTTTGTTTTGTTCTGTAGATGTGTGACAACCAGGACTTATACATATTGATCACAGATTATAACTCAGTCAGGATTCTACTTCGTCAAAATTATCTCCCCATTACGTATACGCCACCTAATTTTTATAATCGTAAAAATGGAAGCCATTATAAGGATGACGCGCTGTCAATTTAGCTCTTGAAAACCGAAAAATTTATCCACTTAGTATCATTACGATCTTTATATGCCAGTTGTATTTTAAAAGACAAATGTATCTTCTAGCTATTGAGCATCATTAATGTGTTTTATGCATTTGGTTTTTTCAACTTAAAGCTATTGTCTGATCGGTTGTCAGGGGGGATTTTCGAACGTTCAAAAATATTAAAAAAAATCTAATTAAATATTTCGTGGAAGGGCAGACTAAAAATGTTCAGAGGTTGAAGACTAATTACCCTAGATAACATACACAAAAAAAGAAGTTTTTTTGAAGTTATGCATTTTTAAAGATCCACCAGAAAAGTTTGTCGTCAAGTATTTTTTAGTAAAAAATTGCTATTCGAACATACCTACTCTGTTGTTATGACTCATTAGAAAGATATTTTACTTGACCAATATATTTCATCTTTTAGTACTGTAAATTTTTAATGTTATTGTATCAACCTACAGCCTAAATATATAAAAATAATAGAATCTGAAGCGAGATGATGTATCAATTTTTTTTTCTTTTGTACGTTTTCAAGACAGAATAGTCTACTCAAACACACCTGAACCTAAAAAGGTGTACTCGACTTTCTCTTTTTCGATGAAATTATTGCCTAGTTTGGGTATTTTTCCCCAAAATCTGTCACCGGGGGCAGAGATGCAAATTGGTGCTTTAAAAAGATAAATATATTATCTTTCTTTGGATTTTTTTTCGGCGGAATTGATGCTTATGCACAAAAAAGATCCACGTGAATTTTCACCTACCATGCACAATCGACAGTTTTGTGAAAATTTGTCTATAATTTAAAAATTTACAAATATTTCGAAGCTCAATCCAATAATTTAAGTAAAAATACATACATTAGATGCATAAAATTCTAAATTAGGCACAGTTATTAAACTTTTAAAGCCCATAGAAACAGATGTAAACAATTCAAATTTACCAACAGACTTAACTTCGCCTTTTTTACCTTCTCTAACAAAGAGTTCCATTTCTTTTGTTTAATTTCAACTATAATAGATAACAGACACACTTACAAAAATTGTTAGAATGAATACAAATACATGTATGAGAACAGAGATATAAAATCCGTACTGTTGACAATTCTAAACCTGCCATGAGGGTCTGGATGGGGTCACTTCTTTAATTTGTTTAATTGTTAAGACTATTATTTTGCATTCTTTATTTATTTTGCCCATTCTGTTTTACTTATATTTTACATCCCATCATTCTCTATTCTTTATGTGTTTGCCTATTTTTCTCTATTCTTTATTGTTATGCCCTTTATTCTGCACTCTTTGCCCAGTATTCTCTATTCTGTAAACCCAACCCAGACCCTCTGCAACGAGTCTATAAGGAACACTTTCAAACATAACCATAATGATAACAACTTGATTCATCTTTATACATATTCATACGTTCATCCATTTATAAGTAGTTCTTATTCTTTTACCTTCAAGTTAACACATTTTATTATATAACACCTGATATTTGATAACCATAAGCAGTCCAGGGACGTTTTTGATATTTTCTTTATCATGAAAATTGGGTGTCAATGGTTAACTTTGAATGTTTCTGTAAAATGTATTCACAACTTGTATAGGCCAATAACTATGAAGAGTTTGACTTATGAACAACTGCAATGTTGCCTCTGGATGTTTTTTGCTTATTTTTGTCGTTGGATTGCTGTCGCACTTATGTCAATCCCCTCAACTACTAAGGCGTGTATATATAATGTAAGCATACTTATCATAAAATTGTAATCCAACAATTAGATTAATATCCCCAAAAAATACTAGAGTGTGAGAAGAAACGTATCATGTTCGCTATGGCATGGTATTGGTTGCAAAAATTTGATATTTTTCATTTAAATGCAATATTTTTTATTCAATTGGTATATTTCTTCATTTGAATGCAATATTTTTTTTATTTGAATGGTATATTTTTTAATTTAAATGCAATATTTTTTATTCAAATGGTATAATATGTCATTCAAATGCAATGTTTTTTTATTCAATTGGTATATTTCTTCATTTAAATGCAATATTTTTTATTTAAATGGTATAATTTGTCATTCAAATGCAATATTTTTTATTCAATTGGTATAGTAGTTTTTTTATTTATATGCAATAATTGCATTATGGGAAATTCTTTGACGTCTTAAGGTCAAATTTGCAACAACGTTTCTGATTGGTCGGTAATTGTTTGGATTTCCCCCTTTCTTTCTAAACATGAGTGACCAAGAACTAAAAAACGCGCCAGAATATCGCCCCTCTAACTAAATCTGGCGTTCGTGCGAGACCTGCACTGGCTGTTAAAATCTTCTGGTCCTAACTATTATTTCTATTGCAAAATTTCGATGGTCAAAACGTTCGGACCACCACTTTTCAAAAACTTTCATTGTATATGGATTTATATGCAAGTATATCGTTTTCTTAACTAGATTAGACACCGTTGATTTTCCCGTTTGAATGGGAGCCCTTTATAGCTTGCTGTTCGGTGTGAGCCAAGGCTCCGTGTTGAAGACCGTACTTTGACCTATAATGGTTTACATTTACAAATTATGGCTTGGAAGGAGAGTTGTCTCATTGGCACTCATACCACATCTTCTTATATCTATATACAACATAAACCAGACGTTTCTCATACTGTTTTATTTTTTAATAAATCCCTTGCCGCGCGATGTGTACTGATTGATACTTCTGTCTAGGAGAACAAGATTTATTCCAGTACTAGTTGTAGTTAGCTTTGAGCAAACTTCCAGTAATTGTAAATACTCTTATGTCGGTGCGTTGTGTCTATTGTCTTAATGTTAGTTTTTTTTTGTGAGTCTCATACCGATCTTTTGAGTTAATCTAATTGCAACTGATTAGTGCAGGTTGTTTTTTTATTGTTCTGTTACACCATTGTCCCAGCTCCGGGATGGGTTGAGTGCCGCTAACAAACATGTTGTTGTACTGTTACACCACTGTCCCAGGTTAGGGGAGGATTGGTTCCCGCTAACATGTTTGACCCCGCCACATTCTGTATGTATGCATGTGCTTGTCCCAAGTCAGGAGCCTGTAATTCGGTGGTTGCCTTTTGTTGCTGTGTTATACATATTTGTGTTTCGTTCATTTTTTTGTACATTAATTCGGCCGTAAGTTTTCTCGTTTGAATTGTTTTACATTTGTGATTTCGGGGCCTTTTATATAGCTGACTATGTGGTAGGCTTTGTCGAAGGCCGTACGGAGACTTATAGCTGTTGATTTCTGTTTAATTTGGTCTCTTGTGGAGAGTTGTCTCATTTGCAATCATACGGTACCACATCTTCGTTTTTATATCAAACCTGCACTATTCTTTATTTGCCTGTCCCAGGTCAGCCTGTAGTTTAGTGGTTGTCGTTGGTTCATGTCTCGACCCGTAATTGATATTTTGCAAATTGTTTTGTTATGTATAATTAGGCCGTTAGTTTTTTTCGTTTGAATTGTTCACACTTTTCATGTCGGACCTTTTATAGACGACTTTACAGTATGAGGTTTTTTTCATTGTTGAAGGCCTTACGATTGTGTATAATTGCTTACATCCACTTCATATTTGAACTCCGGTGGATAGTTGTCTTATTAGCAATAATATCCCATCTCTTCGTTTTTATATTATATACCTGACTTCTAAACTCGTGTTTTCCTGAACAAGCATGAAATATTTGTCACTGGGCGTTAACAATTAGCAACAAAACAATCAATCAATTTAAACTTGTGTTAAATAAGAGGAAAACCATTTGATATTTATTTATTTGTTGGGGTGGGGGACAGAAGGATTTCATATATATGAGTATGGTTGCCTGGTAAGAGCTGAAAAATAGGCACGATTAGCGACAGATTAAAATGAATAATGATGCCCTCTCTTCCCTTCCCCATCCTTTATCTATAAATTTAAACTGACCACTACGGAATAACCCAATAGTGTTGAAAGTAGCGTTAAACACCAATCAATCAAAATCCCTTACCTAGAATATCAAATAATCGTCCCTTAACTGTTATTGTCCGTGTAGTTCTTATATTTATCCAGCTTATCGTCCTACAGGGATGTCTTACTAAGGCTTTCATACCATAAAACGTTTATAACATAGCTCACATTCTAATATATCTGAATTCATAAATTTATTAATGTTATTTAGACTAAACGACGCCATGTTTGTTATGTGCCTCTGCCGTCTAAACAACCTATCAAAAAAGAAGAGGTGGAAGAGAGCCAGAAGATCTTCCCAATGCAAAAAAAAAAAAAACCCAGAAGTGGACTTCTTCTGGCTCACTATCGAAGAACAAAAAAACGCGCCCCATTAATATGTTTTAAAAACGCCTTGCCCCTACCCTAACTATGCATTTTTTTTTATTTCAACGTGTAGACTGTCGGGCAGTTTCTTCAGAAAGGGTTTTCATTGGAGGCGTTTTTGCCATGCACGCAGGCATCTGTTTCTATCCATGAACAGGTTGTGTGTCAAAATAATTATTATTACTTATCACTCGCATTTTTTGCTCGACCTGGCCATTATTGGCATTAACAGCCAGTGCACGAACTCGCACGAACGCCAAATTTAGTTAGCAAGGCGATATTCCGACGTGTTGTTTTAATTCTTGGTGACTCATGTTTAGAAAGAAAGGGGGAAATCCAAACAATTACCGACCAATCAGAAACGTTGTTGCAAATTTGACCTTAAGACGTCAAAGAATTTCCCATAATGCAATTATTGCATATAAATAAAAAAACTACTATACCAACTGAATAAAAAATATTGCATTTGAATGACAAATATACCATTTAAATAAAAAATATTGCATTTAAATGAAAAAATATACCATTCACATAAAAAAATATTGCATTTAAATGAAGAAATATACCAATTGA